GATGTAGCCATCCCAACTGCAGGGTGACTTCTCACTTTCTCTCTCTCTGGCAAGCACACACGCCCCACGGCAAAAACTCAAATAATAAATAAAAAAATAGGGGACCAGCAGTTGGCGTAATGGCTATGACGCTGAACTCCCACGTAGTTGACTATGGTTCAAGTCCTGGACTTGGTGGCTTAAACTCAAACCGAGTACGTGTGTACCCAAGATGCAGAGGAGAATGAAGGAGAAGGGGTTTGGGTGTGGCTTTCCTCCCGGGGGTGATTTCTTGCTTTCTGTCTCTCTGTCTCTGTCTTTCTGGAGAGTGGATGAGCCCTATAGCAAAAAACTCTCCATAAATAAATAAATAACGGGGCTAGCAGGTGGCATACTGATTAAGGAGCTGGACTCTTACATGAGTGACTGTGGTTGGAGTCCAGGACCAAGTGGCTTGAAAATCACACCGGGCACATGTGCTTGCATATCCAAAATCCCAGGAGGAGAACGGCAAAGAGGCTGCTGCATAGCCATTCCCTGAGGGGTGATTTCTTACATTTCCTCTCACTGTCTCTCTGTCTGTCTCTCCAGCAAGCGCATGTGCCCTATGGCGAAAACCAAAATAAGTAAATAAATACATAACCCAGGACACGCTAATCAAAATGAGAAATGCCATTTTTTACATACCATACTGGCAAACATTTTTATAGCTTTAATGTCTGTAATTGATATAATAACCAGGTACTTTCATAATTTAAATGAATATAGCCACTTTGAAAAGCAATTTGGCAGAATTAATTTGCTATAAATATTTATACCTTACCAATTTATGCTACATACAGTTATATTATTTAAATTTAAAATGAAAACAAAAATATGTGTATAAGTATGTGTCTGTGTGTGTGTGTGTGTGTGCATGTGTGTGTGTGTATGTGGTTGCACAAGAAAAACCTCGAAGGTTCCATATGAAACTAATGGCAGAGGATACTGTGGAGAAAGGTAATTTTGTTATGCAAATAGCACAGTATTCTTACCACAGACCTGTACATTATAGACGACTGCACCCAGGTTACAAACCTGTATGTTCCTGGGCCAGATACTGCAGGTAGTTTTAATATAATGGTAATTATTTGTGTATCTAAATATGTATAAACATAGGAAAGGCTCGGTAAGAAAGAGATAAAACAGTACCCTTGTGTAGGGCACTGACCGTGAATGGAGCTCGTGGGACTGGAAACTGCTCTGGGTGAGTCAGTGAGTGAGTGTGAAGGCCTAGGATACTACTATACACTGCTGTCAGTGTTATAAAAACACTGTATACTGAGGTTATACTAAATTTTTTAAAGAATTATTTAATTTTATTTATCATTATTATTATTATTTTGCTATAGGGCACATGTGCTTACCAGACAGACAGAAAAAGAGTAGTAAAGTAAGAAAGCAAGCCACTAGGTCTGGGACTTGAACTGCAATCAGCCATGTGGGAGGCCAGCACCTTAACTATCACATCACCTGCTGGCCCCACTAAATTTATTTTTCAAATATTTTTCTTTATTTGGTAATAGGTTAGCTTACTGAAACTTAATTTTATAAACATTTAAATTTATTTTTAGTTTTATCATAGGGTGCATGCACTCACCTGAGAAGGCCGGAAAGAGAGAGACAAAGTAAGAGAAATTGCCCCCTCCCCCCCGCAGGGTTGGCCACACCATAATCCCTTCTCCTCCATTCTCTTCTCCAGATTCTGAGCATGCATGCACATGTGTCCAGTATGTTTTCCAGTATGTTTACTTGGTCCAAGATTCTAACCATGGAGTCAGCCATGGGAGATCTGTTTCCAGTTCCATTACAGTTATATGGGACCACTGTCACATATACAGTCTGTCATTGTCCTAAATGTCATTTTGTTACATATGACTATATTACTTATGTAATTAAATATTTTAAAAATTTTAAAGTCCATTAAATGTAAAAGTCTCTGACTTCTGTCATTTGTCCCTAAGCAAATATGAAGAGACTTCAAAACATTTGTGGAAAATGGAATTAAAGTATGAGCTTATTTTGGTGCAAAAGGTTTGAAATTTATGCATACTTTTTTCAATCGTACACATTTCTGTGAATTTTTTGAAGACTTAGCAGCATATGTTAGTATTTAGCAAGTCTTTGGACAGTTTCTAAAAGCCACTGTCCCTCCCTTTGCCTACCGTCTCAGCAGTTCCTGGGGTGACATGTCTGCAGTCCCATCTTCATCACTCCGGCTGTCGCTGCTGTCGGAACTCTCTGAAGTGCTACTTTTCTCTGATCTTTTGTTCTTTTGCTTGCCTTTGTGTTTGTGCTTCTTATGTTTCTTTTTCTGTTAAAAAGATGGAGGGGAGAAGAGGGAACAAATAGATATATCCTTTATTAAATCAGTGCAATAAAGGAATAATGAAGATTTGACTGCTGCAGTCATTCAAAAACAAAATTGGGAGAAGACACCGCCATGGCTCCTGAGAACTAGTGATTTCAGGGAAAACAGAGAAATGAAGATTTTCTACTGATAATTCAGCCTCCAGTGCACAAACGAGTGGAAAGCCAAGGGGCAGGCCTTCGGAAGAAGACACCTTCATGGCTCCTGAGAACTAGTGATTTCAGGGAAAACATGCAGGACATGTGTACGTGCATGACCAAAATCCCTAGCGGAGAATGGAGGAGAAGGGATTGTGATGTAGCCATCCCAACTGCAGGGTGACTTCTCACTTTCTCTCTCTCTGGCAAGCACACACGCCCCACGGCAAAAACTCAAATAATAAATAAAAAAATAGGGGACCAGCAGTTGGCGTAATGGCTATGACGCTGAACTCCCACGTAGTTGACTATGGTTCAAGTCCTGGACTTGGTGGCTTAAACTCAAACCGAGTACGTGTGTACCCAAGATGCAGAGGAGAATGAAGGAGAAGGGGTTTGGGTGTGGCTTTCCTCCCGGGGGTGATTTCTTGCTTTCTGTCTCTCTGTCTCTGTCTTTCTGGAGAGTGGATGAGCCCTATAGCAAAAAACTCTCCATAAATAAATAAATAACGGGGCTAGCAGGTGGCATACTGATTAAGGAGCTGGACTCTTACATGAGTGACTGTGGTTGGAGTCCAGGACCAAGTGGCTTGAAAATCACACCGGGCACATGTGCTTGCATATCCAAAATCCCAGGAGGAGAACGGCAAAGAGGCTGCTGCATAGCCATTCCCTGAGGGGTGATTTCTTACATTTCCTCTCACTGTCTCTCTGTCTGTCTCTCCAGCAAGCGCATGTGCCCTATGGCGAAAACCAAAATAAGTAAATAAATACATAACCCAGGACACGCTAATCAAAATGAGAAATGCCATTTTTTACATACCATACTGGCAAACATTTTTATAGCTTTAATGTCTGTAATTGATATAATAACCAGGTACTTTCATAATTTAAATGAATATAGCCACTTTGAAAAGCAATTTGGCAGAATTAATTTGCTATAAATATTTATACCTTACCAATTTATGCTACATACAGTTATATTATTTAAATTTAAAATGAAAACAAAAATATGTGTATAAGTATGTGTCTGTGTGTGTGTGTGTGTGTGTGCATGTGTGTGTGTGTATGTGGTTGCACAAGAAAAACCTCGAAGGTTCCATATGAAACTAATGGCAGAGGATACTGTGGAGAAAGGGACAGGTTTGGAGAATTGGTCAAAGGCCACTTTAAGCTTTATTTGTAGGTCTAAATTTTCATGATAATATATTCATATACATTTATGTGTTGCTTAACAACAAAAATACATCCTGAGAAATGCATCACTAGGTAATTTTGTCATGCAAATATCACAGTATTCTTACCACAGACCTGTACATTATAGACGACTGCACCCAGGTTACAAACCTGTATGTTCCTGGGCCAGATACTGCAGGTAGTTTTAATATAATGGTAATTATTTGTGTATCTAAATATGTATAAACATAGGAAAGGCTCGGTAAGAAAGAGATAAAACAGTACCCTTGTGTAGGGCACTGACCGTGAATGGAGCTCGTGGGACTGGAAACTGCTCTGGGTGAGTCAGTGAGTGAGTGTGAAGGCCTAGGATACTACTATACACTGCTGTCAGTGTTATAAAAACACTGTATACTGAGGTTATACTAAATTTTTTAAAGAATTATTTAATTTTATTTATCATTATTATTATTATTTTGCTATAGGGCACATGTGCTTACCAGACAGACAGAAAAAGAGTAGTAAAGTAAGAAAGCAAGCCACTAGGTCTGGGACTTGAACTGCAATCAGCCATGTGGGAGGCCAGCACCTTAACTATCACATCACCTGCTGGCCCCACTAAATTTATTTTTCAAATATTTTTCTTTATTTGGTAATAGGTTAGCTTACTGAAACTTAATTTTATAAACATTTAAATTTATTTTTAGTTTTATCATAGGGTGCATGCACTCACCTGAGAAGGCCGGAAAGAGAGAGACAAAGTAAGAGAAATTGCCCCCTCCCCCCCGCAGGGTTGGCCACACCATAATCCCTTCTCCTCCATTCTCTTCTCCAGATTCTGAGCATGCATGCACATGTGTCCAGTATGTTTTCCAGTATGTTTACTTGGTCCAAGATTCTAACCATGGAGTCAGCCATGGGAGATCTGTTTCCAGTTCCATTACAGTTATATGGGACCACTGTCACATATACAGTCTGTCATTGTCCTAAATGTCATTTTGTTACATATGACTATATTACTTATGTAATTAAATATTTTAAAAATTTTAAAGTCCATTAAATGTAAAAGTCTCTGACTTCTGTCATTTGTCCCTAAGCAAATATGAAGAGACTTCAAAACATTTGTGGAAAATGGAATTAAAGTATGAGCTTATTTTGGTGCAAAAGGTTTGAAATTTATGCATACTTTTTTCAATCGTACACATTTCTGTGAATTTTTTGAAGACTTAGCAGCATATGTTAGTATTTAGCAAGTCTTTGGACAGTTTCTAAAAGCCACTGTCCCTCCCTTTGCCTACCGTCTCAGCAGTTCCTGGGGTGACATGTCTGCAGTCCCATCTTCATCACTCCGGCTGTCGCTGCTGTCGGAACTCTCTGAAGTGCTACTTTTCTCTGATCTTTTGTTCTTTTGCTTGCCTTTGTGTTTGTGCTTCTTATGTTTCTTTTTCTGTTAAAAAGATGGAGGGGAGAAGAGGGAACAAATAGATATATCCTTTATTAAATCAGTGCAATAAAGGAATAATGAAGATTTGACTGCTGCAGTCATTCAAAAACAAAATTGGGAGAAGACACCGCCATGGCTCCTGAGAACTAGTGATTTCAGGGAAAACAGAGAAATGAAGATTTTCTACTGATAATTCAGCCTCCAGTGCACAAACGAGTGGAAAGCCAAGGGGCAGGCCTTCGGAAGAAGACACCTTCATGGCTCCTGAGAACTAGTGATTTCAGGGAAAAAAGAGAAATGAAGACTTTCTACTGATAATTCAGTCTCCAGTCCACAAACTCGAGTCATGGATCTAAGGGAACCATAGCCAAACATCCAAATACTATTTGGGTTAACATATTCCTCAATATCTACTGAATCTGCTGCATGAAGGGATCAAAACAGAGTACGCTCCTGAATGCTCAGATTCAACTTCAAGTTTAGGAAGAATCACACTACCCATCAGATGACCAGAAATCACCACAGGGCCACAAGAAATATGGGAAAGCAAGAAAATAACTCTTTTCAAGAGAAAATAATTGCTCCTCTTCATCCACAAACAGTCCAACGGAAATCATGGAAATGTCTGATAAAGAATTTAGAATATTCATAATGGCGAAGCTAACAGAGATGGAAGAGAAGAAAGTCAATGAACTGCAGAAGAAAAAGGAGAAAGGAGATGATGAGTTCCAGGAGGTGAGGAAATTCTTGCAAGCTCTAAATGAGGAATTACACAATTTAAAAAAGAATCAAATGGACCTGTTAGAGATGAAGGCTATAATACAGGAAGTCAAAATCTCCCTTGAAAATATTAAAAGCATACTAGATCATACAGAAAATCCAGTTCAGACGTGGAAGAAAAAATTGCTGGCTGAGAAAAATCCACCATGAAGACTGAGAAAATGACCCAAAAAAATGAGAATAATATATGAAAAATACTAGATACCATCAAACGTCCAAACATCTGGATAACTGGCATCCCAGAAGGCAAAGAGACTCCTAAGGGCACTGATAATCTATTCCATGAAATCCTGCATGAAAACTTTCCAAACCTAGAGAGGCACTCAAAGATCCAGTCCCAAGAAATACAAAGGATCCCCAATAGAATCAATCCAAGAAGATCTTCTCCAAGACACATTATAGCCAGACTGACCAAAACCACAGACAAAGACAAGATACTAAGATTGGTAAGAAAAAAACAGCAAGTTACCTACAAAGGATATCCCATCAGGCTAATGTGAGACCTCTCACTGGAAACAATACAAGCGAGGAAAGAATGGGAAAATATATTCAAAATGTTAAGAGAAAAGTAATTTCAACCAAGAATACTGTACCAGGCAAGATTATCCTTCATATGGGAAAAAAAGACAAGAACATTCTCAGATAAACAAAAAACTGAAAGAATTTACCAGCACCAGACCAGATCTCCAAGAAGTTCTCAAGGTAGTGCTGTCAGGAAAATTAAACACAGACACACAGAAATAAGAGTTTGAAAACTAAGAAAATGGCCAACTTAATCATAGGGACAAGTCTGGAGTTGAATATTATATCCCAGAATTCAATTAGGAAGATAGATTAAGTACATGAGACTGAACTGGTGAAATAGCATTTTATGACACTGACTAAAATATTGCTGATTTTCTTCTAGGTTTTATTGTCCAGTTTTAAAGATTTTTGTCCTGTCTTGAGCTGTTGATAGGTTCACGTACCTACAATTTGAACAGAATCCTAACCTGTTTACGGGCTTTAAGTTTTAAGCAAAGTTCCTTAGCATTTCTTTGTCTTATTAAAGTTAAAACTACTTTTCTTGAAATTACCAGCTGAATTTGCTATTGAAAGTAGATAATTTAAGAAATTGTGTGATGGATAAAATGTGGTGGTGGGGGGGGAAGAATGAAAGACAACTGTAGAGACCAGAGATAGTGTGAGAAGAGGGTAGGGCAGAGGGTCAGAAATAGGGATTGGGAACCAGCAGTTAGCGTAATGGCTACGTCGCTGGACTCCCATGTAGTCGACCGTGGTTTGCACCCCGGACCCGGTGGCTTAAAACTCACGCCGGGTGCATGTGCGTGCATGCCCAAGATCCCGAGAGGAGAATGGAGGAGAAGGGATTGCGGCGTGGCCATCCCCCCTGGGGGTTGATTTCTCGCTTTCTGTCTCTATGTCTCTCTCTGTCTGTTTGGCGAGCGCACGCACCCTATAGCGAAAACCTCTCAAAAAAAAAAAAGAAAGAAAAAAAGAAATAGGGGTTAAAAAAAAAACTATATGTGTGTGTGTATATACACACATACATACATGAATCTAGAAATGAAAAAGTATTGATGATAACATGCATGATTAAGCCACTATGCCGTATATTCTAGATGGTGAATTACATTTTGTATGCTGTGACAATGCTTAGGGAATGAATGTAAATTAATAAATTTTTAAAAAATGTTTCAAGAAAAAAAAAACACAAAAACTTTTTCTTGAAATTAAAACACAATACATTAAAAATACCTATTTGATGACTGCAATAAGCTATATAGCCCCAGCTAGGTGCTACTTTATAGTATGTTCATTCTACTCACTGAGGTTTATGCCTAAAGTCAGACTTGTGTTCATGGATATGTATCTATCAGCTGTGCTTGCTATTGAAAATATTTAGATTAATTAAGATCTCTAGTGAATCAATAAAACGTGGGGGGAGAAAGGCATAGAAAGCAACCATGGATACCAGAGACAGTGTGGGAGGAGGGCGGGAGATGGCAGAGGGTGAGAGATAGGGAATCAAGGTTGGGAAAAAAAAAGCAAAATATACAGGAAACAAGAAATGGAAAATGATTTGTTGACAAAAGCACGTATGTTGATGTGCTTGATTGAGCCATATACAGTGTATTCTGGATGGAAAATCTCATTTTGTATGTTATAATAATGTATAGTAAATGAATGTAAATAAATAAATTTAAAGAAAAAAAATTGGAAAACTCTCATTTAGAGTGTGAGCCTAACACGTGCTGACCCAGGGGCAGAAGCTGTGCACCCTCCAGACTGCGCACACACTGATGGCACCCAGTGTCCAACAGACAGACACAGCAGAACCCAGCGGACGTAGGCAGGACCCCGTTCTGACACTCAGCCCCACCTTGCACATGGTGACCTGTGCCACCTTCGCTGACGCTGCCCAGCTGGTTCTGTTAGGCACCTGAGGAGCCACATACCCAGATAGGAGGCACTCTGGGAAGACCCAAAGAGAAACTGGTAGAAGGTCAATGAACAGCAGACATGCGGGCAAGACAAACAGAATTGGGTTTTCGAACCTGTCAGCATTCATTTCTTTCCTTTCATTTCAAAAGAACCTAATCATCCTCCATGCCCAGGAATCCTTTCTTCTGGTAGCCAATTATGGAAGGGTTTCTAATCTCTTCAATTACTAGCCCAGGCCACTCTGGGGACCCAACAGTGACGTTAACCTAATTAAGAGCCTGTGCCCTAACCCAGAGAAAGACACGGATAACAAGAGACGGAGACAAAACACACAAGACTCCTCCTCAAGGTTCCTCCACTTCAAATGGCACTGCACGGACTAAAATCTCGAAATGTGACAGTGACAAAGTAGTTGAGAAATGCTCAAAATAATACTTTCACTTAATATTGAATGAATAAGCAATAAGCGCTGTTCAATTATTTAAACTCCACCATTCCGCTCACATGCAACCATTCCTCTAGGATACTTCTATGCCCTTTTTCCTACATTTTAGTGTTCACCAAAAAAAAATTTTTTTTAAGTGTAACTGAACAAATCAAAATATTCTGCTCTGGGTCACGTGGTGGTTAAGGGCATTGGACTCTCACATGGCCAACCGCAGTTCAAGTCCCAGACCTGGCTTTCTTTATTCCCCCTTGCCACTCTGTCCCTCTCTGGTCAAATTAAAATAAATAAATAAAATTAAATAAAAAAATACTTCTTAAAAAAAAAATTCTGCTGTGAAAAGAAAATCAAAATCCCTGAGAAGTGGAGAGTTTGCACTGCATGTCCACATTCTCTCAAGGTCCAGTGAGGCCTGTGTGCCCCATCTTGGCCAGGAGATGCCCTCGTGGACTGATACCCTCGTGGACTGGTGGCAGGTGCCCCTCCTGGGAGCTTATTCAGATGGTAAAAGCAATGGAGTCAGACTCCCACATTAATCCTGGGCCCTCCCTGCAGTTACCTTCTCTTTCTTTCTTCTGCTGTGCTCTTTCTTGGTCTTGTGTTTTTCTTTGTTCTTTTTATGTTTCTCTTTTTGAGGTACCTCAGGTTTCTGTCGAGCATCTGAAACACAAATGTAATGAACACATGACTTCAGGGCCAGCAGGTGGCGTAGTGGTTACAGCACTGGACTCCCACAAGACCCACATGTTAGAGGCCCAGACCTGGCAGCTTGAAAATCACACCAGATGTGTGTGTGTGTATGTGTGTGTGTGTGTCCAAAATCCAAGGAGGAAAGTGGAGAAGGGACTGCAGCATGGTCACCTCTCCTGGGATGTGAATTCTCACTTTCCCTCTCACTGTCCCTCTCTGTCTCTTTCCAGTGAACACACACACCCTATGGCAAAAACCTTAAAAAAATAAATTTTAATTAAAACAAAATAAACACATACACTCTGCAGGGAAAATAAAGACTATTGAAAAGAAAAAGTAAATTCCTAAACGATTGGATTAGAGTCTGACGCAGATGGAATGTTTAACATTGAGGCAGAACTCCTGCCCTTCGACGTGCTTCTGCCTTACCGATAAGCTCACGGATTAACACCCCAGATTGGGGCACTCTATTTAGAGAGCTCCCAGAAACCTCAACATAAGACTGTGTGACCCAGCCCGTACCCTCCCACAGCCTTATCTGCTGGATGACGTCAGATGAAGATAAAGTCAGACCAGAATGCACAGGAGTCTTTTGTGATTCAACTCAGGGAGGTCAGAGACAGACAGGAATGGGAAACTCGGCTCTGTCAGCACCTCTGTGATCTTTGGCACACCGCCTAACCTCACCAAGTCGTGGTTTCCACATCTATAAAATGGGGATCATGAGAATCCCTGTCCTTTCAGGAACACAGGGTAGACTGGACAGAGCTGTACACAGGACTCCTGAGGCCCGGAAACTGGCACATAAATGTCAGCTCTTCTAATGCTGTCCCTCTTCAGAAAAGCACATTTTATAAGAATTTGCCTTATAAGCAGGAACACTAAAAAACTAGCATCAAAACAACACATACTACATAATCACTAAAACTAACTAAAGACATTGTATATGCCTAGATTCTTCAACTGCAGATTGAGACCCAAACTGTTTTCCTAGGTCATTAATTTCCAGGTAAACAAACCAACAAATATTCACAATGATGGAACAGGCAGTGGCATGGTATTAAGGCAGTTGGATCCCACATGGCTGACTGCACAGTTTGAGTCCTGAACCTGGCAGCTTGAAAAATGCACCAGCTGTCTCTATGTCTCTCTCTGTCTTTCTGGCGAGCGCACATGCCCTATAGCAAAAACCTCTCCAAAAAACAAACAAACAAGAGAAAAACGCACCAGCATGTGTGCACACCCAAAATCTCAAAAAGAGAAACAGAGGAAAAGAGATTACAATGTGATCATCCCCATGGTGGTGGTGGGGGTGCTTTCTCACTTTCCCTCTTTCTCTGTCTCTTTCTGGCAAGCATGTGTGCCCTCTGGCAAAGTTTTCCAAAAAAGAAAGAGTCTGTTTGGTTTTTTTTTTAATTATTTATTTAATTTCATTTCTTTATTTTTAATTTGCTATAGGGCACGTGCATTCACCAGAGAGAGAGAGAAAGTGAGGAAGCAAGTTCCAGGACTTAAACAGCTGTCAGCTCTGTGGGAGTCCAGCACCTTAATCACCACACCACCTCCTGGCTCCCAGAGAGATAGTCTTAAAACACTTCTCAGGCCAGCAGGTAACGCGGAGGTTATAGCGCTGGATCCCACTTGGCCAACTACGTGGTTCAAGTCTCAGACCCAACAACTTTAAAATCATGACTGGACACGTACATGTGCATGCATATCCATGGCTCCCGGGGCTGATTTCCCACTTTCCCTCTATCTCTCTCTGTCTCCCTCTGGAAGTAAAAAAAGGAAAAAAGCGTAAAGGTCCTTAGAGCTATAAAGCAACAACCATCAGTCAAGCACTAAGTGGAGGCGCTGGATTTCAAAATGTGACTGGAACAGAAATCAGAAATCAGCATGTACTCAAGCTGGAGTAGGTGAGGGGGCTAACACCACTGCAGAGCTGCCATATCTCAGGGAGACACGTGCGACACCGACGGGTGAAGCAGGGGGCTCTGGACTCACTAGGGCAGAAGACCGGAGGCAGCCGCGGGCCGAACTCTTCTCTCTCATCTATCTGCAGCTTCTGTATTGGGAAGGGAGGTGCGGGCTCACAGGGCGCTGGCTCATTAGCTGAAAAACACAGAGTATTAATGTTATTCATTTGCCTAATACTAACATGCTTGGGTCTTTAACGAATGTCTGCTGTCACCAGATAACGTGTGCTTTTCTTCTCCACTTTACCTAGCCCCCGCCACGTGCTGAGGATGCCGCTGAAAATACAGAGGATCCCACCTCTGCCCTGTGCCCTCAGCCCTCGTGGACAATGGAGCTGGGAAGTCAGCCACAGAAGGGCACCTATAGCTAAGTGCATCCAGTACTATGACACTGGGTGGCAAGTGGAACTGTGGGCACATACTCCAATCACATAATAGACATGAGGGGTTGAAACATGTTCCCAACAAAGGGTCCGCTGAGAAGGAATGAACACTTACCCAAACAGGGACATAAGACTATGTACTGTCTAAGAAAACGGAGAGACAAATTTCACTCCAAATGACCAAAGAAAGGGAAGCTGACAATAAATGATCAAGTCAGCCAGTAGTGTAGTGGCTAAAGCATCTGGATCCCCATGGCCAACTGCACAGTTTGAGTCCCAGACCCAGTTGCTTGAAAAACATGCTGGGGGCATATGTGTATATGCTCAAAATCCCAAAAAGATTTTGCAAATGGAAGAAAAAGGGATTGCAGGGGCCGGCAAGTGGCATGGTGGTTAAAGGCGCTGGACTCCCACATGGCCAACCACAGTTCAAGTTTCGGACCTGGTGGCTTGATTTCTCACCTCCTCGCTCTCTCTCTGTCTCTCTCTGATCAAACTGGAAAATAATAATGATAATAATAATAAATAAAGTTAAAATAAAATAATTTTTAAAAAAAGAAAAAGGGATTGCAATGTGACCATTTCCCATTTCACTTCTCCTCTCTGTCTCTCCAGCAAGCTCACATACCTTCTAACAAATTTAAAAAATAGTAAGAAAATAAGTGATTCTGTCCCTATTAATGAATTTTTAAACAGATTACTATGTTTTCAGATAGAAGAGACACACAAACGAAAAAAGTCTGAAAAGTATGCATCAACACGTGGTAGCAGTGTTTTTTCCTGGGAAGTGGGATTATGAGGGACTCAAACTTTCCCATATTTGCATATTTTTTAACTTTTAAAATTCAAGTATAGAGGCCAGCAGGCGGTGTAGTGGTTAAGGCACTGGACTCCCACATGGTCAATAGCAGTTTGAGTCCCAGATCCGGCAGCTTGAAACTCATGCCAGGCATGTGTGTCTGTGTGCCCAAAATCCCAAGAAGAGAATGGAAGAGGAGAGACTGCAGTGTGGCCATCCTCTTTGGAAGATGATTTCTCATTTTCCCTCTCTCCATCTCTCTTTCTCTCAAGTAAGCTCATGTGCCCTATCACAAAAACTTAAAAAATAATAATAATAATCAAGTATTTGTCTTTGTAATAAAAGATATATAAATTATTTTTCTTCACAGAAAAAAAAAATAGGCCAGCTCCACAGCCAAGTAGTTAAGGGAGCTGGATCCCACATAGGCAACTGTAGTTTGAATCCTAGTCCCAGAGGCTTAAAAAACATGCCAGGTACATGTGACCAAAATCCCAACATGATAAAATTGGAAGGAGTGGAGGGAAGGGATTGCAGTGTGGCCATACTGGAGTGAGGGGTGCTTTCTCCCTCTTCCTGTCTATCTCTCTAGTAAGCACACACATCCTCTGGCAATTAAAAACCAAACAAAGCAGCTGGTGCCAGCAGGTGGTGTGATAGTCAAGGTGCTGGACTCCCACATGGCTGACCACAGTCTGAGTCCTGGATCTAGTGGCTTGAAAATCACACTGGGCGCATGTGTGTGCATGCCCCAAATCCCAGGAGACTGGAGAAGGGATACAGCATGGCCATCCCCCTGGGAGGTGACTTCTCCCTCTCCTTCTCTGTCTTTCTCTATCTCTCTCCAACAAGCACACATGCCCTATGGCAAGACATGGATCAATATTTATAATCGCTTAAGAAAAAATACTATTTTATATTTCTGTGTAATGTTTTGGTTATAGGTCCTTGGTCAAAGATCCTCAAATATTATACCCAAGTCTACCTGACAAGAGCAGTCAGAATACTCGGAGACTTAAATGGGATACTCTGTCTACCCACCCATGCATCTTAAAAACCTCCCACCCCTGGAAGCCAGCAGGTGGTATGATGGCTGGGTACTGGATCCCACATGGCCAACTCTGTGGTTTGAGTCCTGGATTTTGAAGCCTAGAGACATGCCAGACATATGTGCTTTCATGCCCAAAGTCCCTATAGAAGAATGGAAAAGAAGAGATTGCAGTGTGACCATCCCTGCTAGGGAGTGACTCATTTTCCCTCTCTGTCACTCTCCAGTGAGTATGCGCATCCTATGGTAAAAAGAATCCAACAGGAAAAAAAAAGAAAAGAAAAAGAAAACGAGGTCAGCAGATGGTATAGTGGTTAAGGCACTGGACTCTGATATGGCCGACCACAGTTTGAGACCCAGAACTGACAGCTTGAAAATCTTACCAGGCATATGTGTGTGTGCACTTAAAATTCTAAGAGTAGGGACCAGCAGATAGCATAATGGCTACATCGCTGGACTCCCACGTAGTCAACTACAGTTTGAGTCCCAGACCCGGTGGCTTAAACTCACGCCGGGCACGTGTGCATGCGTGCCCAAGATCCTGAGAGGAGAAGGGAGGAGAAGAGATTGCGGCATGGCCATCCCCCCTGGGGGGTGATTTATCACTTTCTGTTTCTCTGTCTCTCTCTGTCTTTCTGGTGAACACACGTGCCCTATAGCAAAAACCTCTCCATAAAAAAAAAAAAAAAAAAAAAAAAGATCCCAAGAGAAGAATGGAGGAGAAGGGACTGTGGTGTGGCCATCCCCCGAGGGGGTGATTTCTCGCTTTCTGTCTCTATGTCTCTCTCTGTCTGTCTGGCCAGCGCATGCGCCCTATAGCGAAAAACCTCTCAAAAAAAAAAAGAAAAGAAAAAAATTCCAAGACTAAAGGAGAAAAGATTGTGGAGTTGCTACATCCTTCTAGTAGTGGTGGTGGTGGGGGGGAGTGACTTCTCACTTTCTGTCTCTCTGTCTCGCCAGTGAGCCCCTGTGCTCTATAGCAAAAATTTCTAAATAAATAAATAAAGTGAAAAAAAATTTTTTAAAGGTATCTTTTTAAATAAAATTTTTACTGTGTTTTAATTCTTTTCAAACTAAGTCAGAAAATCAGTATCATGAAACACAGTTAAAAATAGGTATGTGAGAAATACCAAACAGAGAAAAAAAAAGAGAAAACTCTACTCCACCCCAATTAAAAACATAAAAGAGAAAACACCACTGGTTGCTAATTATCCTGGTTTATGATTATAGACCAAACAAAGCAACAGCTTGCCTAGGCACATCGTCATTAGATCCTCTAGATCCCCAAGATGGGATTACGGACGTACCATGAGCCACTGACGGTGTCTCCCCCATGTCAGCTTCTTGGGAATCTTTGAAGCTGGCCTCCCCAGCATCTGGCTGATCGTCCTCGCTGTCACCCTGCTCATCTTCGGAGGAGGAGGACTTTTCATCGGAGGAACTAGCAAAGATGGCCCTGAATAAGTCCATGGACGGGCGGCTGCTCTCCTCCTCGGTCTGTGAATCCACGCCTTTGTTTACCGTCTGCAGTAACAGTGATGTTAGAGTCAAAAAAAAAGGAGCAAGGGTGAAGGCAGGCAACCGTTCTAGAACACACACAGACACACACGTACAGGATGCTTGGTACATAAGTGTCCATGGCTATGCACCACCTCACTGTGATCGTGAACGCGGCATTCACTGTCATGGTGTTCTGAGTCATCAAATGGACAATGTGCCAACTAGGTCAAAGAAGCCAGAGTCTCTCACGGAAGTCGGTTGCTAGGCAGAAGGCAAAGAATCCAGGAAAACATAATAGAGAACAGTGCCTCTGTCTTGTTTTCATGAGTTTATCTAAGCCTTCAGAAGCCCAATATTAAAAGTAATAAAGACAGGGGTCAGCAGGTGGTGTGGCGGTTAAGGCACTGGACTCTCCACAGGGTTGACCATGGTTCAAGCTCAGAACCTGGCAGCTTGAAAATCACACCAGGCATGTGTGCATGCACGCTTAACATCCTGAGAGGTGAATGGGAGAAGGGACTGTGGTGTGGCCATGCCCCCTGGGGGGGATTTCTCACTTTCCCTATCACTGTCTCATACTTTCTCTGGTGAGTGACAAGCCCTGTGGCCAAAACTTAAAAAAAAAATAAAAGTAATGAAGATAGTCTGCTTGTAGGGAACACCAAGGAAAACACTGAGCCCCTCTACACAACGGAGAGGGAGCCAGGGACACATGGATGAACGGTCCAGGAACTCCCCTTTGCAATTATGCATCAGTCTTGCTAAAAGGAGCCCAGTATGGACATGCAGGCTTATGAGAGAGAGATTTTTGCTATAGGGCGTGTGCGCTACTGACAAAGGAAGAGCCACAGGTCAGAGATGAGTAGAGACCCTGCCAAAGATGCCGAAGTGAGCTGTGCAAAGGGTGGGTCTGGATTCTTACGGCCTAGGTCTCGGTCTTGGTCAGCGGTCATTCCCAACACCACACCACCACCAATATCTGGAGTAGAGTCACAAATACCCACACGAAGTAAAATTGGCACAAGGTACTGGACTTCGTAGTTTTAAAGTGAATTTTTTTCACAGAAAAAAATTAAAGAGGAGGGGCCTGCAGGTGGCATAGTGGTTAATGGTGCTGGACTACCACATGGCTGAACACAGTTCAAGTCCCAAACCTGGTTCCTTGCTTTCTTCCCTCTCTCCTTCTCTGTCTCTCTGATCAAACGGGAAAATAACAACTATAATAATTAATAAAGTTAAATAAAATAATTGAATTTTTTTCACAGAAAAAAATTAAAGAGGAGGGGCCTGCAGGTGGCATAGTGGTTAATGGTGCTGGACTACCACATGGCTGAACACAGTTCAAGTCCCAAACCTGGTTCCTTGCTTTCTTCCCTCTCTCCTTCTCTGTCTCTCTGATCAAACGGGAAAATAACAACTATAATAATTAATAAAGTTAAATAAAATAATTATTTTTAAACTCTAATAATAATTAATAAAGTTAAATAAAATAATTATTTTTAAAGAGATTAAAGAGGAAAAGTCATGATTAAAAGTTAGGAGCTTCGTGTCCCACACTGGGCAAGGCTTTCACAGTAGTATTCTGGGGATCAGTTTAGGGACCAGCAGATAGCATAATGCTTACATTGCTGGACTCTCAGGTGGCTGGTCATGTTTAGAGTCCCGGACCTGGAGGCCTGAAATTCATGGTCATGGTTAGAGTCCCGGACCTGGAGGCCTGAAATTCACACTGTGCATATGTGCATGTGTGCTCAAGACCCCGAGGCGAGAATGGAGGAGAAAGGACTGTGAAGTGGCCATCCCCCCTGGGGGGGGTGATTTCTCACTTTCTGTCTCTCTGGCTCTATCTCTCTGGCGAGTGCATGAGCCCATAGCAAAAATCTCTCTTAAAAAAAAAAAAGGAGCAAAAGGGTTAGCCAGGTGGTATGGTGGCTAAGGCAGCTGAATTCCACAGGGCTAACTGTGAGCCGGGTGGTATGGTGGTTAAGGCAGCTGAATTCCACAGGGCTAACTGTGTGGTTTGAGTCCCAGACCCAGTGGCTTGAAGAACATGCCTGGCATGTGTACGTACGTGCCCAAAATGCTGAGAGGAGAGTGGAGGAAAAGAGATCACTGTGTCGTCATCACCCCTGGAGGGTGCTTTTTCACTTTCTCTCTCCCTGTCTGTCTCAAGTAAACATGCATACCTTATTGCAAAAAACAAAATAATAAAGTAAATAAAAGCCAGGAGCATGCCCACAGATCTTGTTTGCTAAATATCATTCTCCACTAAAACTCACCACAGTACCTGGGCTAAGGCCTGGGAAAGAAAAAGATAAGCTCGCAGCATCTTAGTGTGCCCATAAAGCAAGGATGTGCTCAGAGAACAAGAGGGTACACCAAAGGACACAGACGCCCACTCCAAGGGCTCCCACTTGCTGAGCTGGGACAACTGCAGCGGTGAAATAAACAACATCGGTACTAAATATCTCTCTTTGGAGACAATAGGGAACCACAGGTTCACAGTGATATAAATACATACTTTTAGGAGGAACAGGGCATTTACATAGTCCAAAGTTTCTAAATACTTATGACAAATAAGTGAGAAAGGGCCTAGCAGGTGGCATGGTGATTGAGATGTTAGACTCTCACATGGCAGACTGTGGTTTGAGGCCCAGACCTGGCAGCTTGTTTTCTCACTTTCTATCTCTCTCTCTGTGTCTCTCTCTGATCAAATTAAAAAATAATAATAACCCAAAAATTAAAGAAATAATTATCTTTAAAAATATGTAAGTCAAACTTATAAAAATTAATAAATAGGGGCCGGCAGGTGGCGTGGTGGTTAAGGGCGCTGGACTCCCACATGGCTGTCTGCAGTTTGAGTCCTGGACCTGGCATCTTGCTTTCTCACTTTCTCTCTCTCTCTGTCCCTCTCTGGTCAAATTAAAAAATAAATCAACAAATAAAGTTAAATAAAAATAGTTCTTAAAAATAAAGTAAGACCTATAAAAATTGTATTTACAATATTAAAAAAATTAATAAATAAAAGGGCATATTAATAACAAAAGGAAGAGGCTAACTTTATAGTACCGAAGCTTGGTGGACACCCTTATCGTCTCTGTGGACCTGGAGAGGATGCAGTGACAGCACAGCTTCCCTTCCAAGGCGGTCCCGCCGAGGTACAGACCTGGATAAATCCAGGGGCGTATCAGACAGGCCCGAATAAAGGGGCATTCTACAGAGTACTGGCCTCTCATCTTGAAAAGTCTGAAGAGCATAAAAGGCAAAGCCTAGCTGCAGCAGCACAGTGACAGCACAGCACTGTGCAATGTCAGAAGCCATATGGAAGACCAGGGTTCAGTTTCTGGGTCGACTTGTACATACCAGGTACATGATTCTAATTAACTAATGGCAGTGAGAGTACTTATCTTTCCTCTCTCTTTCCTTCATGAAAGAAAGAAAACATTTTTTTAAAGCATTTCTTTTTTTTAAATTTTTATGTATTTGTTCACTTATTTTAATTTGACCAGAGAGAGACAGAGAGAGAGAGAGAAAGTGAGAAAGCGAGCTACCAGGTCCAGGACTCGAACCATGGTCAGCCATGTGGGAGTGTCCAATACCTTAACCATCACACCACCTGCTGGTTCCCAGAAAACACTTCTTTTTTGAGAGATTTTTGCTATAGCACATGTGCACTCACCAGAGAGACAGAGACAGAGAGGCAGAAAGTGAAAAATCACCCCCCAACAGGGGGGATTGGTCACGCCACAATCCGTTCTCCTCCATTCTCTTTTTGGGATTTTGGGGATGCACACACGTGCCCAGTGTGAGTTTTAAGCCTCCGGATCTAGGACTAGCCTGGCAAAGAGAACCACGAAAGGGCTAGCAGGTGGCATGGAGGTTAAGGAGGCTGCATCCCATATGGTTCACTGCACAGTTTGAGTCCTGGACCCAACAGCTTGAAAAATACACCAGGTACATATGCATGTGTGCCCAAAATCCCAAGAGGAGAATGGCAGAGAAGAGACTGCAGTGTGGCCATTCCCCAGGGAGGACGATTTCTCAATTTCTCTCCTCTCTCTCTCTGGCAAGTGCATGCTTCCTATAACAAAAACTAAAAAAAAAAAAAAAAAAAAAAAAAAAAAAAAAAAAGACAAAGAAAGAAAGAGAGACAGACCCTGGAAGCCCCAAATACCTTATCTGAGAGTGATTCTGGCACTTGCTCCTCCTCTTTCTTTACTAAGGGACTGGACTCTGGTTTAGGTGGACCAACTTTTGACCTCGCCAAACTTAAAAATTCACTGATGGAATCTTCTTTCTCTTCTTGTTTAGCTGTATCCCATCTGGATGGTTTTCTTGATTCTGAAAGGTAAGCGTTAGACATAACATTGGAATTAGCGAGCGAAAGGCAAGTTCTTCATACTGCTCTTTAATTCATTCAAAGCAGCAGCACCTACTGGGAACCAGGCACTGGCCAAGGTGTTGAGGGTGTGGCCATTGCAGTTGGAGCCCGAACCCTGAACAGTAACAACCTGGACCATCATGACATGAGCTAATGTATGAATATGAGCAATCCTCTTAAAGGAGGGAGAGTCTCCACCACGTGGATCCTAAGACTAGACCACCCTTTACTTCTGTCTTCCCAAGAGGCTAAAGACTGAGACTCCGTCCCCATCAGCAAACAGGGCTGACCAAGTCCTACTCACTGTCGGGACCTCGGTGCTGTGGCACTTTTTCACTTGCTGCCCGAGTTGTGGACGGGGAAGCTGTTTCCGGGAGTGTCAGAAAGTTGAAGACTGAGAATTTATCCCGTTTTACTCTTGGTAAGCCAACCACAGTTGAACTTAAGGATTGAAAAGAAAAAGGTAAAAATTTTAATAACAACTACTAGGATTAAAATCCACTTCCTGAAAGCTTTCTATTTCATGTTTTTCACCAACTCATGTACTTGGCTAGAAGGCCCTGTCAGATGTTTTCATTTCTTAAAGCAGTTCAAGAAGCTAGAATGGCTGATCAGGTGGCGTGGTGGTTAGGCGCTGGATTCCTACATGGCTGATCACAGTTTGAGTCCGAGACCTGGCAGCTTGAAAATTCATGCCGGGTGAGTATGTGCACATCCCCAAAATCCTGAGAGAAGGCAGAGAAGAGATTATGGCATGGCCATTCCCCCTAGGGCATGATTTGTCACTTTCCCTCTGTCTCTTTCCATGCCTCATGGCAAAAACATAAAGAAATAAAAAGAATGGCTCATATTAGGACCTACAAATTTTTCTTATTACAGCAAGGACTAGAATTTAACTTTCAAAATGGATTCCCAATGGGGCCAGCAGGTGACATGGTAGTTAAGGCACTGGACTCCCACATGGCCAACCATGGTTCAAGTATCAGACTTAGTGCTTTGGAAATCATGCCAAATGCATGTCAGTGCATTCCCAAAATACTGAGAAGAGAATGGAGAAAGGGTTGTGAAGTGGCCATCTCCCCTTGGAGGAGGCTGATTTCTCACTTTTTTCTCTCTCTGACCCTCTCCTGAAAGTGTACACATCCTATGGGAAAGAAAGAAAAAAAAAAAACTTTAGAAAAAGGGATTTCCCATAAGGAAAAGTCCCACTGCTAAAAATGTACCTGCACTTTCTGAAAAATATCTCCGATTCAACTATATGTGCTAACTTATAGTATTTATAATCGAGTTAGAAAGTACTGTGCTTTTATAAAGAGAATTAGAAAACATAAGTAATATGTTTTGGGGGGGAGGTTTTTGCTATAGAGGGCATGCACTCGCCAGAAAGACAGAGAGACAGAGAGAAAGCAAGAATTACTCCCCCAGGAGAGATGGCCATGCCGCAATCCCCTCTCCTCCATTCTCCTCTCAGGATCTTGGGCACGCACGCACACATACCCAGCATGAGTTTAAGCCACGGGGTCTGGGTCTCGAACTACAATCGACTATATAAGAGTCCAACAACATAGCCATTACGCCAACTGCTGGTCTCTCATAAATAATATTTTTAAATGTAAACTATACAAGCGGCATTAAAAAGACAGCAAACTTGGACAAACCCCGTAGCATTGTGGTTAGGGGAACTGGAACCCACATGGCCAACTGCAGTTAGAATCTCAGTCACAGTGGCTTGAAAAATATGCTGAGTGTATGTCCATGACCAAATCACAACAAGACTGAGAAATAAGAAGGGACTGAAGAATGACATGCTCCACTGGAGGGTGCTTTCTCCCTCTCCCTCTCCCTCTCCTGACATGCTTGAAATCAATACATGTGCTTCCTGGTAATTTAAAAAAAAAAAGAAAAAAAAAAAAGAATGGCCAATAACTTTATATTAAGTTTTTATATTTTTTAAAGAATTATTTTATTTAACTTTATTATTATATCATTATTATTTTCCAGTTTGATGAGAGAGAGACAGAGAGAGAGAGAGAGGAAGTGAGAAAGCAAGCCACCAGATCCAAGACTTGAACTGCGGTCGGCCATGTGGGAGTCCAGCGCCTTTAACCACCATGCCACTTGATGGCCCCAAAAGCATTAAGTTTTTATAATTTGACATAACTGAATCTCATAGCGTTAATATGAAATAAAGTTTACTACATGGATTTTTTTAAAGAATTATTTATTTAATTGTATTAATTATTATTATTTAATTTTGACCAGAGAGAGGGAGAGAAGAAATGTGAGAAAGCAAGCCACCAGGTCTAGGACACGAACTTCAGTTGGCCATGTGGAGTTCAGCACCCCAACCACTATGTCACCCATTGGTCCCTGGATTTTTTTTTTTTTTTTAATTAACAAATTAAAAGAGGTTAAAGTACATCTATAAAACTTACAACTCAAAGGATTTACAAATAAACTCATCTAGCAAAAGGAAAGGTATGCAAAAGAACATAAGGGAGGCAGTCAGCTTGGTTATGGGGAATGTGATTTGTACTGATGTAAAGGCGGTTTTACCCAACTTACTCTGGGTAAGGGTCAGGGACGTTAAACCTCTTACACAGCAACTTGTCAGGGTGCCACTCAAATGTGTCTCGGGTGAGCTTCCCAAACATCTTCATCTTCACAGCTGACTGCTTGTCATTGACATCATTCTGGGAAAAGACAAAAACTATGTTTCGTTGGGTAGTAACAACCTGACAGCTCTTCTGTTTAAAACTTTTCAGGCAGGGACCAGCAGGTAGCATAGTTGGTAAGGCTCTGAACTCCCATGTGGTAGACTATGGTTCAAGACCCGGACCTAATGGCTTGAACTTCATGCAGATATGTGTGTGTATATGTGCCCAGAATCCTAAAAGAAGAATGGAGAAGAAGGGACTGAGGTATGGCCATCCCTCCTGAGGGGTGAATTCTTGCTTTCTGCCTCTCTATCTCTAACTCTCCAGTGAGTGCAGCAAAAATCACTCTTAAAAAAAAATAAAAAAGAAATCATTGTATGCTTTAGATTCCAGTTACCGTAGAAATGTGAGACCATGAGCTCTTTTGTAATTCTAGAAGATTGCTTGAAAAAAAAACTTTATTTTTTTTTTTTAAATTTTTACCAAAGAACATGTGTGCTCATAGGAAAGTCACTGAATGACAGAGACAGAAAGCCAGAAATCACCACCTCTACCTCCAGGAGAGATGGCCATGCCACAGTCCCTTCTCCATTCTCCTTTCGGGATCTTGGGCGCTCACACACACACGCCCAGCATGAGTTTCAAACTTCCAGCTCCAGGACTCAAACCGCAGCCATCCATGTGGCAGTCCAGCATGTAACCGTTACACCATCTGCTGGTCCCATACAATCATTTCTTATTCTACTCTGCCATGTGTATTCTGACCTTTGTACTAAGGGATTTAAAATACATTTCAATTTTTAAATTCATCAGGAAGGAGCATGACAGCGACAGACCTCTTGGTCTCGAGGGACTTCAACTTGGTCTGAGTCGTCCTCCCCCTGGATTTTTTTTTTTTTTTAATTAACAAATTAAAAGAGGTTAAAATACATCTACAAAACTTACAACTCAAAGGATTTACAAATAAACTCATCTAGCAAAAGGAAAGGTATGCAAAAGAACATAAGGGAGGCAGTCAGCTTGGTTATGGGGAATGTGATTTGTACTGATGTAAAGGCGGTTTTACCCAACTTACTCTGGGTAAGGGTCAGGGACGTTAAACCTCTTACACAGCAACTTGTCAGGGTGCCACTCAAATGTGTCTCGGGTGAGCTTCCCAAACATCTTCATCTTCACAGCTGACTGCTTGTCATTGACATCATTCTGGGAAAAGACAAAAACTATGTTTCGTTGGGTAGTAACAACCTGACAGCTCTTCTGTTTAAAACTTTTCAGGCAGGGACCAGCAGGTAGCATAGTTGGTAAGGCTCTGAACTCCCATGTGGTAGACTATGGTTCAAGACCCGGACCTAATGGCTTGAACTTCATGCAGATATGTGTGTGTATATGTGCCCAGAATCCTAAAAGAAGAATGGAGAAGAAGGGACTGAGGTATGGCCATCCCTCCTGAGGGGTGAATTCTTGCTTTCTGCCTCTCTATCTCTAACTCTCCAGTGAGTGCAGCAAAAATCACTCTTAAAAAAAAATAAAAAAGAAATCATTGTATGCTTTAGATTCCAGTTACCGTAGAAATGTGAGACCATGAGCTCTTTTGTAATTCAAGATGATTGCTTGAAAAAAAAACCTTTTTTTTTTTTTTAGAGATTTTTACCTAGAAGATTGCTTGAAAAAAAAACTTTATTTTTTTTTTTTAAATTTTTACCAAAGAACATGTGTGCTCATAGGAAAGTCACTGAATGACAGAGACAGAAAGCCAGAAATCACCACCTCTACCTCCAGGAGAGATGGCCATGCCACAGTCCCTTCTCCATTCTCCTTTCGGGATCTTGGGCGCTCACACACACACGCCCAGCATGAGTTTCAAACTTCCAGCTCCAGGACTCAAACCGCAGCCATCCATGTGGCAGTCCAGCATGTAACCGTTACACCATCTGCTGGTCCCATACAATCATTTCTTATTCTACTCTGCCATGTGTATTCTGACCTTTGTACTAAGGGATTTAAAATACATTTCAATTTTTAAATTCATCAGGAAGGAGCATGACAGCGACAGACCTCTTGGTCTCGAGGGACTTCAACTTGGTCTGAGTCGTCCTCCTCCTTGGCATGAGTAAACCTGGATGACAAGGTCGAATGGGGAGACACGTACAGCAGGGCTGCCCGAGCAAACTCATCCCGCTCCCTGCCTCGCTCCCATTCCGTCATGCTGGGATCCAGGCATTGTTCCAGAGCATCTGCAGTACAGGGAACAAGAAATTGCCTTACTTATCGGAAAAAACAGGGGGCCTAGCAGAGAACAGCTGGTGGCACCCCTCTGTCTGAGTATTTCACACAGGAAACAAAGATTCTCATTCTTATTTTATGGGCCTAGGCAGTGGGAGGTACTTGGCAGGTAATTTTCTTTTTTTTTTACTGCTCTCTTCATCAAATGATGCTTCAAGCACATAACAGACAAATCACATAACAGACAAAAATCATCTGGAAGGCTAATGCCTGGTTAAACCTTGAGAAGCTGGGAACTTGTCGCCATTCTCAGATAGTGGCAAGTTAACCCCAACTATATTCTTATTTTTGGCTGGAAACACTCGTTCCCTAACTTTTCTTCTGTTTTAATTTAACAAATACAAATTATTGGAACATGGGTTCTTAGCAGAGAGTAAAAGCACAGTAAATGAACTTTACATACCTCCAATGACGTGTTTTTGAAAAGCAGCCTCTCTGATTTGCTGAGACCTCTCACAAGGATTACTACATGTAACGGCAATCCCTTTCCTCATCCTTGCTGCACTGACTTCACAGATCACAAAGTGATTTTTTTCCTGGATAATGGCTTAACAACCGAGTGTCCTTTTTTATTTAAATTTTGTTAGAGGATGTGTACACTCACCAGGAAAGAGAAAGAGAGAGAGAGTGAGAAAGCAAGAAAGCATCCCCAGTGGGGAACGGTCATGCCACAATCCCTTCTCCATTTCTCCATCCCATTGGGATGTGGGGCATACATGTACCTACACTTGGCGTGTTTTTCAATTCACCAGGTCCAGGACTCAAACCACATAGCCGAATGGACTCCAGCTGCCTGAGACCACAGGCTGACCCCAACTATTTTTTTATAAATCAAAATTTGAACTTGGTCCTGCCATGGGGACGTAGGCAGTGGAGGCACTGCCGTATGATGCTGAAGACTTGGTCCAGCCACGGGGACGTAAGGCAGTGGAGGCACTGCCGTATGATGCTGAAGCCCACCTGAGAAGGCTCTAGGTTCAGGTCCCGGTCTAACTACATGTGCTGAGCACAGGGGACACACCCATGACCCTGGCTGGTTGCAAAGCTGAGGGGAGCATCATGGTGTGAGGATCCTGCTGAGGACATCTACCTATGTATCTAATACACAAGCTTCTAAAAAAATTTTAGATGGGAACCAGCAGATGACTTAACGGTTATATCACCAGACTCCCATGTAGTTGACTGCAGTTTGAGTCACAGATTCAGCAGCTTGAAACTCATGCCGGTTGCATGTGCGTGCATGCCCAACATCCTTAGAGGAGAATAGAAGAGAAGGGACTGCAGCATGGCCATCCCCTCTGGGGAGTGATTTCTCACTTTCTGTCTCTCTGGTGAGTGCACATGCCCTGTAGCAAAAAAATTTCTCTTAAAAAATTCTTTTGACAATGACCTAGAGCTAGAGTGTGAGGATCTTAAGATAAGCGGGTGATGATGTTCTCTTGATGTGAAATAAAACATAGAAGTCAAGCGCTTGTACTGGGTCATTGGAAAAGTCATGACACATTTTTGCATAGAAAAACAAAGATATGTCACACCTTTCCCAATGACCTAATAAAAAGTTAAAAGGCCTAGGATTTAGCACTTGCCACTGCCAAGGCATATTCTCTCCTTAAATAGCTATCTTCAGACCTGAGATACAGAGAAACACAAGCTAATTGTTCTTTCTATATCAAGAGACTTAGAAAGTGAACCTTTGCACTGTTTGCAAGTAATACAAAGCAGAAACACTGACAGAACAAGATATCTCAGTTTTTAGTTTTCAGCCCTCCCTGGCTGAGACAGGAGAGACCCAGGACCAACACCCACCTTTCTGGCCCTGTTTCATATGTACTAAGAACTCTTCGTATCGTTTTTGCTTCTCTGGATCTTTTGCAAAAGGTCTGAAGTTGCTAGCTGTGGCAGTGGCTGTCCCACCACCCAATGCCATGCACCGAGAGCTGAGTCCCATATCTGGAGAGAAGGGCTGGGGTCGGCTGCTCGAGGCCATCTGGGCCAGGTTCCTGGCCTTGAGCTGCGCTGCTTTAAGGTCTGTGGCCTGCTTCATTTCCTTGATTCGCTCTTTATCTTTTTGGGAAAGAAACTCTAACACCGAAGTAGCCAAACCTAAATAAAGACAGTAATAAGAGGAGATGAAACATAGCAAAAAGCAACTACATTAACATTTCTCTTTATTTTCAAGTAATACAAATTTACATAATTGGACATGAGTGTTTTACGTTTCATATTTTGTTTCTATTCAGACATCCACATGAGCTAGATGGTTGTACAATAACGAGGCTCCTACTTTCCAACACGGAGGCGCATACTTAGATGTCCTCAGGGCATGAGACTGGTCCTCAACAAGGAACCATACTCCCCAGCCCCCCGACCTGCAGTCTGTGGTGGGCTCCACGTCCACAGTCCTGCCAGCACACACTCTGGCTCAGAGCACAGCTCTGTGCCAGGCACTCACTTGTGGCAAATGTTTACTGGCTGCCACTCACCAGGCACTGGCCCAGGGCCGGGTAGACAATGTGGATGAGGTCCTACCTCTCACTACTGAGGGAGGTGGACAGGAAAGAAGCTAACGACCAGTGCCACAGCAGTGCCGGGAAAAGGGTGTGATCGAGGACGACTTAGAGGAGCAGGCTGGGAGTGAGGGCACGGGGAGGGAGAGAGCACTAGAATCTGTGGTGGTCAGGGAAGGCTGGAAAGTTTCCCTAAGAGGTGATATTTGAGGCAAGTCCTAAGCTAACACAGAAGTCAGACTTACAAAACCATGAGGGAGGGACCAGTAAGTGGCATGGTGGTTAAGGGGCTAGACTTCCACATTACTGACCACTGTTCAAGTCCTGGATCTGGCAGCTTAAAAATTAAGCTGGGCACATGTGTGTGCATGCCCAAAATCACAGGAGGAGATTGAAGAAGAAGGGATTGCAGTGTGGCCAACCCCCTCTGAGAAGCTGACTTCTCAATTTCCCTCTCACTGTCTCTCTCTGGCTCTTTCCAATAAGTGCACATGACCTATGGCAAAAAACTTCAAAAAAAAAAAAAAAAAGAGGGATCAGGGCCAGCAGGGGGCAGGTGGTTAAGATGCTGGAATTCCCACATGGCTGACTGTGGTTCACATTCTGGACCTGGTGGCTTGCTTTCTCCCTCTCTCTCTCTCTCTGGCAAAACTCATGTGAAAAATAATAATGATAATAATAATAATAAATAAACAATTTTTTTTAAATGAGGGATCAACAGAGATAGAAAAAGCAGTAAATGCTGGGAGCAGCAAATGGCATAATGGCTACATTGCTGGACTCCTATGTAGTCGACTGCAGTTCAAGTCCCGGAACCAGTGGCTTAAACTCCCACCGGGTGCATGTGCATGCGTTGCCCAAAATCCCAAGAGGCGGGTCAGCAGTTGGCTTAGTGGCTATGTCACTGGTATTTCATGTAGTTGACTGCGGTTCAAGTCCTGAAGCTGGTGGCTTAAACTCATGCCAGGTATGTCTGTGCGTGCCCAAGATCCCAAGAGGAGAATGGAGGAGAAGGGATTGCAGCGTGGCCATCCCCCTGGGGGTGATTTTTCACTTTCTGTCTCTCTGTCTCTGTCTTTCTGGTGAGCACACACACCCTATAGCAAGAACGTCTCAAAAAAAAAAAAAAAAAAAAAAGATCCCGAGAGGAGAATGGAGGAGAGGGGATTGTGGTGTGACCATCCCCCCTGGGGTGGATTTCTTGTTTTCTGTCTCTCTGTCTCTCTGGCAAGCGCCACTCTGTCTTTCTGGCAAATGCACGTGCCCTATAGCAAAAATTTCTCCAAAAAAAGAAGAAGAAAGTGACTGGTGGGACCAGCAGTTGGTGTGATGGCTGTGTCGCTGGACTCCCATGTAGTCAACCGCGGTTCGAGTCCCAGACCCGGTGGCTTAAACTCACGCCGGGCACATGTGCATGCGTGCCCAAGATCCCTAGAGGAGAATGGAGGAGAAGGGATTGCGGCATGGCCATCCCCCCTGGGGGGCGATTTCTCGCTTTCTGTCTCTCTGTCTCTCTCTGTCTTTCTGGCAAGCGCACGCACCCTATAGCAAAAACCCTTAAAAAAAAAAAAAAAGAAAAAAAAGAAAGTGAATGGTAATCCTTGGGTGGGTGGCCTCATGGTTGGCAGGATCAAGGGACAGAAGAGGGAATCATGAGGCTACACTGCAGAGAAGTTGAGGGAAAGGGAGATAAGAAGTGGATCTGATAGTAGGCAGGGGCTGGATTGCAAAGTGCCTATGGGGAGTCCGCATGTTTTGTGAAGGGTGAGAGGTACTGGACAGCTTTAAAGGGATGCTGATATAATCTGGCTCATTTAGCAGCTGCTGAAGGGAATGGGCTGGAGAGGGACATAAAGAGACCAGTAAGAAGGCAGTTGCAACAGTCCAGATAAGAATAGATAAGAGCTCAGTCCAAGGCAGAAATGCAGAGAAGGGGATGGAGACCCAGCGTATCAGAGGTAAGGCTGAGAGGACTTGCTGATGAACTGGGTAGGGCTGGTGCAGGGAGGGAAAGAAAAATGTCAAGAATTATAGGGCCTATAGGTGGTATAGTGGTTAAGGTGATGGACTCCCAAGTGGCCGACTACAGTTCAAGTCCTGGACCTGAGACTTGAAACTCATGCTGGGTGCGTGTGTGTGCATGTGTGCCCAAAATCCTGGGAGGAGAATGAGAAGGGATTGCAGTATGGCCATCCTCACTAAGGGGATGATTTCTCGCTTTCTGTCTCTCTGTCTCTGTTTTTCTGGCAAGCACAGACACTCTATAGCAAAAATCTTTCTGAAAAAAAAAAAAAAGAGAGAAAGAGGGGGGCCCGGAGATGGCATGGTGGCTAAAAGTGCTGAACTCCCCACATGGCCGACCATGGTTCAAGTCCCAGACCTGGTGGCTTGTTTTCTCACCTTCTCTCTCTCTCTCTCTGATCAAACTGGAAAATAATATAATAAATAAAGTTAAATAAAATAATTCTTTAAGAAAAGAAAGAAAATTACAACTTCAATATTGAGTCTGAGCAGTGGGTCACTGGTGGTATCATTTACTTGGATGAGGAAGAATGGAGAGCAAATTTGGGGAAGAAAGTGGGGAACCAAGAGTTCTATTCTGGATGATTATATTTAAGGTACTTATTAGGACCCAAATGGCAATGGTCAATAGCAAGAACCCCTAAAAGTCCAAGTCCACCTCTCACAGTGGGTCTTTTTGCTGTGCCCTACAAGGGATTTTTCCCATGTTTTCAGATGCACTCATTCCTTGTAGGCTTTCAGGAGAAGAGTTACCACATGTTTTCCCCTGAGGGAATAAGCAGACATTCTGAGGCAGAGAAAGCAAAGACACCCAGGTCCCTGGTCTTAACCACATTCCTAAATTTTTGTCGTTGTTGTTGTTGTTGTTTTTGGAGAGATTTTCACTATAGGGCGCGTGTGCTCGCCAGACAGACAGAGAGAGACATAGAGACAGAAAGCGAGAAATCACCCCCCAGGGGGGATGGTCACGCCGCAATCCCTTCTCCTCCATTCTCCTCTCGGGATCTTGGGCATGCATGCACACGCGCCCGGCGTGAGTTTTAAGCCACTGGGTCCGGGACGCGAACCGCGGTCGACTACATGGGAGTCCAGTGACATAGCCATTATGCTAACTGCTGGTTCCCCCTAAATTTTTTACTTTTAATTTTTTTAGAGATAATTTTGCTGTAGGGCGCATGCACTTGCCAAAGAGATGGAGAGAGACCGTAGACAGAAAGTGAGAAATCACCCCCTGGGGGAATGGCCACACCACAATCCCTGCTCCTCCGTTCTCTCAGGATCTTGGGCAAGCACGGACACACGCCCAATGTGAGTTTCAAGCCGCCAGGTCTAGGACTCAAACTGCAGTTGAAAACGTCGGAGTCCAGTGATGTAACCACTATGCCATCTGCTGGCCCCATACTCCTAAATTATTAAGAATCTTAAAACAGCTGAGTTTAAGACAATAGCTTGTGTGTGCATGTTTTAATTTGCTATAGGGCACACCCACTTACAGGAAAGACAGAGAGACAGAGACTCAGGATTTAGGACATGCACACACACGCACCCAACATGTTTTTAAGCTGTTGAATCCAGGACTCGAACTGTGCCATCCTCTTAACCACTGACTTAACCACC